ATATTTTTTGTTTTTTTTCCAAATCAGAATTATAGGCTCCCGAGCTATGCTGCTCTTATTTCAGAGGTCTTTGTCCCTCTATCCACCTAACTGACCGCCTACTCCCTCCTTCAACTTTACGCTGTGTTTCTCGATAGTGGCAAAAATCGCCGTTTTTGGATAATTTGACTCGGGTTCGACACCGACCTTAACGAGATCTTTTTTTTTTTTTTAATTTCTTAAAACTCGAATTTAAGAGTCTCAAGTTCTACCGCTCTTAAAGTACAGGTCCCTCGCTCCACCTATCCCTATCCTTCATCCGAATTCTCGGAAATCCATACCTTGTCTTGTTTTCTTCCCATGATCCTCCACCTCCCCCTCCCTTCCCCATATTTCCCTCAAAAACCGTTTAAAATTGTCAATTTTAACCTGTCTTTTCTCTCTCTACTTGACTCTATAATTACCCTTCATTTGTTGTCATAATGTTCTCTTCTCCAAATTCCCCCCTCTGACTTTCGATTACACCTTTTTTCTATTTTTCGTCTCACTTCAACTAACCTTTTTTTCAAGGAAAAAAAAGCACTTTTTGTTCCGCGCTTATCACTTTTATCACACTTCCGAGGGAGAGAGAGAGAGTGAAAGGATAGGAGAAGAGGAGGTATGGGGTCGCCGTGATTTATCAAAACGACTACTGTCTGTCACTTTCTTCACACGGCCAAATTTGATAAGATTAGGGATGGTGATTAGGACGGATTGAAATAGCAAAAAACTAATTTGGCTGAACTTTAATAAAAGGGCATGTCTGAAGTTTCGGAGATGATCTTGATGGTATCCAGTTTGGTGTTTTATAGATAAAATTGTGTTCATGAAACTCTAATAGAACTGCATCAATTTTTTAACCTCGGTTTTTGGTTGGAGTCTCGAAAAGTGAGCTTCTTTGGAATCTCCTTTGTCTGTATGTTTGAATATCTGTATGTCCAAAAATTCAAATATTCGGATGTCCGCAGATCCGAATGTCCGGATGTCCAAATGTCCGGATGTCCGAATGCCCGAAAACGCGAATGTCTGTATGTCTTTATGTTCGAATGTCTAGATGTCCGGATGTTTGAGTGTCCGAATATTCGAAAATATCCAAATGTCTGTGTCTCCGGACATTCAAATGTCTGTATGTTCGAGTGTCGGGAAGTCCGGATGTCCGAGTCTTCTGGTTTTTCAAAGTCCGAACATTCGAATATCCGAACGCCCAAAGATCTGAATGTCCAAATGTCCGGATTCTCTGATATTCCATATGTCCGGATATCCAAGTGTATGTTTGTCCAAATATCCAGATGTCTGTATGTCTACATATTTTCCCGCTTTCTGTGTGTGTGTGTGTGTGGGAATATCTTAGAATATTGACGTCTGGATTGAGTCTGTCGGTTCGTATGTCGGTGTGTCCAGATGTCCACACTCTTTATAATCGAAGCAATTGTGTCTGTCCGTGTATCCAGATTTCCGGATATCCTATTCCAAAGCCTTTAGGATGCCCTTAACACGCCACTCTATTAGAGGTTCATCTTGTAAAAACGTCAAAAATAACACTGCACTCTTATGTCCAAATTCGATAAAAGAGCCGTTTCCAGGATAGTAACAGGTCCGGATGTGTCTGTGATTGTGTCCGGATGTCCAGAACTCAATTCTCTTAGAACCTATCTGTCTGTTTATCGTGAATTCCAGATATTTTTGTCACGCTGTTAGAGGTTTCCCTGCGCTTTTTGTTCGAAATTCTAATCATACTGGAAATCATTTCCAAAATATTGATAGATCTGGATGTACCTCTTTGTCCAGACTCTCTAGAATCGAAATCATAATTTCTGTCTGTATATCCAGGTTTCCAGATATTTTTGTCACGTTATTAGTGGTTCCCTGCACTTTTCATCCTGATTTCTATAAAGAAAACGGTTTCTTATGTCCACTCTTCCCCTATCTTCCCACACTAAATGTCCACCTAATATAACCCGTCGTCGTGTCCACTCTCTCTCTCCGACTCTTTCCATTCATTCATTCATAACAATGAGTAGTGAGTGTTTCCCATGCTTCGTCATAATCAGGTCTCTTCTTCTCTTCTTTAAATGGTAATCTTGTATACAATGAGGTGTTCTTTCTCTCCCCCCTTCCCTCAGTGATGTGTTATGTTGTGGTTGTTATATGAGTGTGAGGATAGGGATAGAGGGGAGAAGTGAACGCATTCAGAATGAAAGAAAGATACAGCATCTTTTCCACATCATCTTGTTATTCTTTTTTGTGTCGCCACCCCAACACCACTACTTCTTCTTCATTATCCCCCTTGGCTTTCAGCTTTTCCTTTTTTCTGTAATCCCCCCCCCCCTGTGTTTATGTATCTGTGTGGCAAACCTTGTAGAATGTTTGGTCATTGTTTCAAACTTTTATGGTTTTTTTTTTTGGCTTCACGGGTAACCTCTAATAGAATTGCACATTCTTGTTGTCAATTATGGAGGATAATTCTGATGTTTCTAGGTTATTTCTGACAGAGTTCCATCTCTGATCTGGACATGGTTCGATTGTTTGAAGGGGTAGTAAAGTGAAAACAGTTTCGCCGTGCACGGTAGAATGGCCTTTTTGGACATTTTGGGAGCCGGTATATGCCTTCAGAGCCATTTCCGGACTTATCCTCAAGAGAATTTTCTCTATTTCTCAAATTTCTGAATTCATTCATGTAAAAATACCGATACTTTTTTTGAATACTTTACTACCCCTTTAAAGTTCCTCTCTGCACAGATCCTATTATAGTACAATACGATTGTCAATCGTGGTAAGACCTCTCGAATAACAGTTACGTGTGCTTTTGAAGCTCCGACACGGTCCACAGTGGGTTGCAACTTTATTAGAGGTTCCATGGCAACCCTGCTGACCTAGATGCATGATCACATCTTCATTACTCCCAAAACTTCAAATTTTAGAGGTATTTTTTCAAAAAAAAAGAAAAAAAACTCGAAAATTGATACAGTACCTGATAAAATCACGACCCTTGGATCATTTTTTCTGAAATAGGATCTTCTCATAACCACTAATAGAACGGCACCCCAAACCTCTACTTTCCTCGGCTCTGCTTTATTTCATAACTAGACGTTTTGCAACTGTGACAATTCGCAACTAGCGTACACTATGAAACTGTGACATTTCGAAACCTGACGTTTTGCAATCGATAGAAAGCATCAATTTGGATCAAGCATACACTTCTAGCTATCCTATACCAGTTGCGAAACGTCTAGTTGCAAAATGTCGCGGAGCCGTTTTCAGAGTTTTTGACTTGGTCATTTTTTGATCTACTTCCAAAAACCACGCGAAAGGAAATGTTTTTGGAATTTTCCAGATCCCAGGATTTGGCGGTATGCCAAATCAGAACATTCCCTAATCAGAACTGTCCATATCTCAAAAGTGGGCGGAGCTAGGAAAAAGATGTCAACTGCAAACTTGTTCCAAATTCAATTTTAAAAAAGTTTACAGTTGACAACATTTTTCTAGCTCTGCCCACTTTTGAGATATGGAAAGTTCTGATTAGGGAAAGTTCTGATTTGGCATACCGCCCAGGATTTTTATTTCTGACCTCCCCCCGGCTCTAGATGCCCCTCTATTAGAGGTTTTTTCACACTCTTCCCCTAAATTCCTCTAAACTTACAACCTTAGAACATGCCTAATTTCACCTTTCAAGGTAAAACCGAGTACCCCACTTCATCCCCTCTCTTTCTCTCTCTTGTTACGGTATCCCCTTTCTTCCCCTTCCCCTTCTTCTTCCAATTTTCCGGTATTGCGGGAGTACATACTAGACGCGTGTCTGCACTCTCTTCATTTCACACTCTCTTTCATGAAACAAAAGATCTCTTGAAGAAGAAGAAGGTCGGACGGACCCCAATTTGAGTGCAAACACTGTGAGGGTGGACCCCTGAGGGTAGGTATCCGCCGGGGGGACGGGGGATACCACCTTTCGAAAACCATTCCAATCGGCTCTCTCTCTCATGAGATCAATATAAATTGAGGGGGTGGGGGCGGGTGGGTCTAAGGGCATGTGCGTATCGGACCCCTCTGTCCCTTTAATGACCTTGAACATTCCTCCGGTCACCCCTGGCTCTTCTTTTGTTCCTTCTCTTCCTTTTCCTTCGCTCTCCAACTGTTACTAGCCTCCTGGATAGGTGGTGGTGGTGCACATTAATCCTTTTCGTATTGTTTTTTTGGTTTGAATGTATCTTTTTGAATTTTCAATAGATTTTTGGAGGGTTGGGACCATCATTTAGATCCATTTTATCAGATAACCTCTCGGGGAGATTAAGATCTTTTTCGCATGAACACCTCCTACTGCTTGGTGGTTTTTTGTTGCAATAAGAAGTGATTTTGGGTGGTTTTGAATTTGGAAAAAGTGCAGAAATCGTAGAAAAAATTTTTGAAATAATGGAATCCGTAAAATTCGAATTTTCGGTTTTCTATTATGAAAAAATCCAAAATTGAAAGCGAATACGAAAAATGTTCGAAAAATAGAGAAAAAGCACACGAAAACCATACTGTTGGAGCTGTTTTAACTGGAATTAGTTGTAATTTTGAACTGATTTTGATAATTTTTTAAATGGAATTTTCAATTTTTTTGTTGAAGATTTTTTTTTAGGGTTTACAGCTCGGTTTTTTTCAGATACCGACATTTTTGAAAGTTTTTTTTTTCAAAACTGAATATATTTTCAAAATTTTTGGATTCTGAAATCCTTTATTTTTCAATTTGAAATCCTCGAAAACTCAATTTTTTCAACTTTTTACCGGAAAATCCTAATTAGCAGAGGCTTTGATCCACTGAACACTTCCAGGAACGCTCCATTTACTTTAAAGACGCACACACCTTTTTTGGAAGGTCCCAGCACGATTGAAAATATTACTGTAATAATTTTTTTTATTTCGGTTTCCTGGTGCGCCTCAATCCCGCATAAAGATGAAAAACCGCGCCAGTGTATATGCCCTCCCCCTCATTTTCAACTGTTGACCCCGTGGCCTAGCGGTTAGCGCAGTTGTTATTGAAAAATGCATCGGAGGTTCGAACCCCACCGGGGTCTAATTTTTTTTTCTTATTTTTTTCCAACTTGTTTTCCCCTCTATCTGACCCCCTAAAAACCAGGCTAACAATGTGATATTAGCTCATCCCCTCCTTTCTCTTCTTCTCACGACACCATCATCATCGTCACCTTCATTTTCTCCTTCATTCCTTCCTTCCGTCATCTGTAATAATCCGGTTCCAGTTTCTCTCCGGAAACCACTGAAAAACTTCTCCCTTCCAACCCTTGTCCATTTCCCCTTATGCTTTCTCTTTTTTTTCGCTTTCTTCTTCCCTTTTCCCCCTTCTAAAAACCGTTTTGTTTATCTACTACTTTCTCTGGTAGTTTTTACTTTTCGTGGAATAACAGAAGCGTTTTGGTATTTATCATAGATTTTCATCTTATTCCGTGAATTTCGAATGGGGGGGGAAAACTGTTATCCATGCATTGATCTAATGCTTATTCTTTCGACGACACACTCGGCGATTCGCATTTTTCAACAAGCTTCTCGATCTACATTCCTTGGTTGAGTATTATTATATTCATTCGTTTGTGATGTTTTTGGATTTTCAGCATTTCAGAATAGTTTCTTGTGCCATAATTTGAGAGATTCCAACATTTTCTGAGAAAGCTCTCCCCCCCCCCCCCCCTAACTTTGACGCTCTATATCTCGTTTCCTAGCAGAGATAGAAAAAAGTTGTCAATTAATAAATTGTGCAAGAATTAATAATAAATGATTTTTTAGTTGATAACTTCCGTCCTAAGCAAGATATACTGGTCTGAGTAATTAGTCTCCTTGAGCCAGTCCACTTCAGTTTAGGGATCCTATGGTTTTGGAGCTCCATATCTCAGTTAGTAGTGGAGATACAGAAAAGTTGTCAACTAATGAATTGTGCGAGAAAAAATGATAAATAATATTGTAGTTGAACAATTCTTGATAACTTCATTCCTGACCAAGGTATACTTCTTCAAGCTATCAGTCTCCATGAATAACCTTGTACCAGCGGTTCATTGAGCTTGAAGCCCTCTAACTTCGTTTCCAGCTTCACTGTAAGGAAAATTTTTTTGTTAGGTAGTAATTTTTCAAAATCTTCACATCTGCAAATTGGTTTCCAATGAAATGCTGTTCTTTGGAAAACATCAAATCTCGGGTGCTAATTACGGCATTACCCCATTAACTTACGGTCCGAAGATCACCCATTTCCACTATTTTTCTAATCACTTTCCACAAAATGTTCTAATTTTTGAACTGTTCTTCCTTTCTATGCTCCAATGAAAATGTTTTCTCTGCTCTTCACTTGCTCCTTCTTACCCTTCTTTGTCTCTCAAACTCTCCCTTTAACCTCCTTAATTTCCAGATACCTCAATGCGGAGTAGGCATGCCCTAATCGGGGCAGGGCCACCCCTCTTAACACTTTTATTTCTACTAATTTCAACAGTAGAATGTATGAAATTCGACCCGGAAAGGATAGCAGCTCGACTGCGAATCGACGAGAAATGGGACGAACTGGAGGCGTTTCAATCCATCAAATCAAGGCGGGGACGACAGATTCAACCCAAGGAAATTAGTATTCAGGTGAGATATGACATTGAAACATTGGATTTAAAAAAAGGGAAGAGAGAAGGTCGTTTTCGTTTTTTATCCCTCTCTGCGCCTCTCTTTCTCTCTCCCCGGTCATTTTCCCGTGTATGTTGACCAACGGAAATGAATGAGCTTTGGTGTGGACAGTCCCTGTCCCTGTCCCGTTTGAAAAGGGGTACCCTATTTGCACAGATGCATTCCTTTTTCATCAATTAGCGGTGTGTGTATGACACCTGCCGTTTCGATACGGCAATCGGAAGAGACACATTTTGAAAGAGGGGAGGGGGGATTAGGTGAATGATGTATTACAAGATAAAATACGGGGGATTCTATAGGTGAAGCATATGGTGTTGTTCAAAAAAAGAATGTTGGCTCCTGTGGGGGTCGAACCCGGGGCTGGCAATTCAAAGGCATCAGCGTTAGCCACTAGGCCACGGATGCATACATTGATCCTAAGGATGTATAGACGATAGCACCCTTTTCCCAAAAAAAAAAAAGACTGCCACCTGTGGGGAGTCGAACCCGGGACCTAAATTTTGGAAAACGACAGCGCTAACCACTAGGTCATGGCTGCAACAGCTGGATTTGCTACCAAGGACGTCAAAGTGTTATCCCCTTTTTGTAAACTTCGCCGTCATGATTAAAGTGAACAAGAGCTTCTCTGAATCGGCTCACAACTCGATTCCTATCAGAGCTATCAAAAAGTGGTCAACTGCAAATTTGTTATTCAACATATTTCAAACAAGTTTTTAGTTAACAACTTTTTTCTAGCTCTGCTAGGAAACGAGATAGAATAATCCAAACATACAGTTGTGTTCTTCATCTTTGTTCGTTTGCTAAATTGACTTATATCTTGATTCCTAGCAGACCTAGCAAAAATTTGTCAACTAGTAATTTGTTAGAAACGCAATTTTACGCAAAATTTTTTTTGACAACTTTTTTCTAGCTCTGCTAGGAAGCTAGATATGATGCTCCAAACTTACAGTTTTTTGCTGGTTCATAGGGGCTGGAACCTAACTGGATAGGGGCACAAAGACACAAATTGTCGTGAAATTTTAACAAAAATTAACCAGATTCCCGTTTCAAAAAAAAAGAGAAAAAAATCACCAATTAGAACTTGTGGGAGTCGAACTTGCTATCAAAACCTGAGAGCGCTAACCGCTTCGCCACACAACCCCAACTAATTTCCAGAAAAAATGTTTTCCAGGTAACGGCTCCCCTATTCTCCAGTCGCCTCTTCGACTATGGACCAACTGCCGGTGATGAAGAACTCCCGCAAGCCTTGGATGTTGGGAAAAAGCTTGATCTAGTACACCCACTCTCTTTCTTTGGATCCGATTATAAAACTATTTATGTAAGAGTTTTCTACCTAAATTTTTTATCAATCAAAGTAAATATTCAGATTCTGTCCAATGGAGCCGTCGGTTTCGAGGCGGGTGCTCGTTCCTATAAGTCTGGAATTCTTCCAGGATCCACTAGATTTCTAGCGCCATTCTGGAACCGAAATGATTTGAGGAACGGTGGAAAAGTCTATTATCGAGAGGTCACAAGTGAGTTTTTTCGGCACATAAAAAATCAAAAAATTTGTAAAAAAAATTCCAGAAGGAAGAGTTTTGGAGCGTGGACAATCTGAAATCCGCTACCAGTACGATAAAAATGTGAAAGTGAAATCTGCTCTAATCATCACTTGGGACAAAATGCAACCATTGAATACGGCGGCTCTTCCTGAAGAGGTAGAAGAGAATGTCTGATTTTTGATGATCTATATCTAATTATTCCAGAACACGAACACATTCCAAGCGGCAATCTTCATCACTGCCAACGGAACATTTGCCAATTTCATCTACAGTAATATTGGATGGACACAAGGCGCTGAGGTTTGTTTTCTTTCTCTTCGATTAATGTACAAATAAGTTATAATTAAGATCATTAGTTAGATAACATTGTAGGGGGGAATAAATCGAGATTATGCAGATTTAATCGATTCAATTGTTCTCCTTCCGGCGAAGAGAATGGGCGCACTGATTCTCATCTGATTTAACCTGAATCTGGGTTTAATGAGGAAAACGAGAAAATTTTTAATATATTGCCTCCTCAAAATAATAGTGATTTATGGGCGTTGGGGGAGGAGGGGGATCAAGGGCTATTGGCACTTGGAGCAGTATTTCTTGGTTAGAAAGAGAGATATCAAAAAGTTGTCAACTAACAAAAGTTTTGTCAAACAATTTTAAATATTTTGTTAGTGAACAACTTTTTTGGCAGCCGAGATAGGGAGCTTTGAACTAGGAGCCTTTGCAGCAGAAACAGGAAAAGGATTTCAGAGGCTAGTGGTTTTCAAAGCTCTATATCTTGGTTAGGAAGAGAGATATCAAAAAGTTGCCAATTATAAGAAGATTTTCCATAAAATTTTGCATATTTTATTAGTTGACAACTTTTTTGTATCTTTTATGAGAAGTGAGATATAGGGTATTGAAGTAAAAACCCCACAAAGCAGCTACAGATAGAACCTTACACTACCTAGCGACACTTGAAGCTGACTATCTCGGTTAGGAGATGAGATATCAAAAAGTAGTCAAATACAAATTTGTTAATCATGCAATTTTACACAGTTTGTTAGTTGACAACTTTTTTGTATCTATGATTCAAATCGAGATATGAAGTTTTGAACTAAGATCGCAGGTTGAAGTCACCAATGAGGCTTGAACTTTTATACAGTTTTAGCTACAGTAATCCACGTTTTTTATTTCAAACTGAAACGAAAGTGATAGAGATTACTGTAGGAAACTCAGTTCCAAATTTTGAACTTTCCACGCTCGCCAGAACCAAAATAAAATCTCCCAAATTCACCCTTCCCCATTTCCAGGCTGGATTCAATGCTGGAGACGCCACCAACCACTTCAAACTCCCGACTTCTGGAACCCCTAACATCATGTACCTTGAAGAGTACGGTAACACTGGAATCCCCGGAGAATGGATGTTTGAACTATCCGATCTACGAGTCATCAGCTGCAAATCGGGAATCAAAGGGGACACTTGTGATCAAGGTATTACTATTTTAGCCCTTCCTCTCCATCATAAAAAACCGTTTCCAGAATGCTCAAACGGAGAATGGGGACCAGATTGTGCCTACTGTTGTCACTGCTCCGAAGGAACCTGCCATCCGATTTCCGGAGATTGTCCACGTGGATGTGCCACTTGTTGGGATGGAGTGGCATGTCAATCGAGGCAAGAAAAGTGTGCAACGAAGACACAGTGTGCATCAAATGCTCTCAGTTTTAATGATTATGATCGGTGTGGAGAGCCGATTCAAAGGTGTCAATGTTTGAATGGATACAAGGGAGATGGATATAATAATTGTGAAGGTAAGGGAGAAAGAGGGAGAGGGTGCAGAAAGATATAGGCAAATGCCGGGGAACGACAGCTGTTGAACCTGTGGCGCAGCGGTTAGCGCAGCTGTTTTCAAAAAATTGAGCGCGAGTTCAACCCCCGTCGGGGCAAATCCTTTTTACTTTTTTTCTAATCATCAAAAAATCAATATTATTCATTCCAGACATCGATGAATGCCGTGCCAACTCCACAATCTGTCACAAAAGCGCAATTTGCACCAACACCCCTGGCCGATATTTCTGTATGTGCAAAGAAGGATTCAGTGGAGACGGACAGAATGATTGTACTCAATCATTCCTCTTCCAATACGACACACATCATCAACTTCCACGGAAAAAGAACTCGAAAATGGAGTGGAATCTCAAGAAACCAATGAAGATTTTCGGAGAGACTACAGAGAAACTAACAGTCACATCGACTGGATTGATAGCTGTGAATGAGTTGAATAGAGATGGTGGAAGACTTGAAGATATGCAATTAGTGGGAATTGCTCCATTCTTTGGACCCATTGATTTGTCAAGAAATGGAGCTGTTAGTGTGGAAGAGGTGGATGATCAGGAGGTGTTGAGAAGGGTCACAAGGACCATTGCCGAGAATTATAATGATCCGACGTTTGAGGCGAAGAGTGCTCTGGTGGTTACTTTTTCAAATGTTACTGATGGAAGACAGGCGGTTAGTTTTTTCAATTCGCTTTATGGAAAATCAGTGAGGCTTGTCTTTGAGAGGAGGGAGTTTTTCGGATAAAAATTTTGAAACAACAACATTTTTTGAAGTTTTTCGGCTCCGCGACACTTCGCAACTAGGCGTTTCAAAACTGAGACGTTTAGAAACTGACATTTTGCAACCATAACATATAGGAACCTTACTTATCGAACCCGAGACGAAACCTGACGTTTCGTAACTATGATATTTTGCAACGGACATAGGATAGCTAGAAATGTATCTATGACCCAATTAAACGATTTTTATCGGTTTCGAAATGTCACAAGTGGCAAAATTTCTAGTTGCGAAATGTCTCGGAGCCAATTTTTCTGTCAAGTTTTGCCGAAAAAGCAACCTTTTTTTGTAAATTTTCGGAGCAGAACCCTGGTCTATACGTCGGAAATTCAGAAATTACCGCCAAACCAACCTGCACAGCTAGAGTGTCCGAGCCTAGATTCGTGGTTCTGGACCTTCCAGCTAAATCAGTACAGCTTATTTTGATCTGACGCATAGACCTCTCCAAGATCTTAATTTTGATATATTTACGAGCCCCACCCTTAATTTTGAAGAAACCTATCGTCTCTATTTGTTCCCACCCCCTTCAAAACCCTATTTTTTTCAGAAAGGAAACACGTTCCAAGCCCTGCTCATCGATGGATCCGGAGCCCGAAATGAGAAAATGACATTCGTCGAGCTGATGTACCGAGATCTTCCATGGGCAAGTGGTGCAGAAGCTGGAATCCTTTCATCCGACGCCTCCTCCTCCATCCTTCTCCCGGCATCTGGCACCGAAGCCATTGCTCAATTGGCCAAGAACAGTAACATCAAACAGCCAGGAACATGGCTTTATCGAATCGATAAACCCCAATTAATGCCCTGTGCTCAACCGATTCAAGTTCCTCCATACTGTGATCACCTTCTGAGTACTGCTCCAAGACTTCCATCGAAACTTCTGGAAGAAAAGAAAGAAGACCTAACACTTCCAGCTCCAGGAGCATTCTTGATTGATCAACCATCGGAAACTATCGTTCCAACTTTGGTACGTGGAGGTGGTACGGTAACAAGAGGAAGGAACATCCTTACCGTAACCAGTGCTCCAATTGCAAATGAGCCTGTGAAGAGACCGGCTACAAAGACTACAACAAGACCTCGACCGAACTTTTCATCTACTCCACATCGTCCAATTGTTTCCTTGTCGGATGAGGACTTTGAAATCGGACCAGATGCTTTTGAAGTCACTTTCCCTCCGTTTGTCACAGTCCAGCCAGAGTTGTTCCGTCCAAACCAGAGAGGCGGATCTCAACAGAAGTCTACACAACGACCGCTTCCAGACTTTTCGATCAAAACTGTAAGTTTTACTTGTTGATATTGCTTTTTATATACAAACCTAGCTTCCAAAGAAAAGAAAAAAAGATTAGACCCCGATGGGGTTCGAACCCGCGTTGAAAATTTCCAAAATAGCGCTGCTAGCCGCTAGACCGCACACGCAACAGCCCCCTGGACAGGTAGAGAGCCTACACAACCTTGTCACTTTTTCAGCCCCTCCGAGAAGAAGTGACCACATCCACCGAATCCACTTCCCGTGTCACCTCCTCCAACAACTCCGGTGCCACAACTATCCCATCCCGTTCCCCGGTTGAAGAAGAGATGTCTGAAAACGATCAATCTCCATTCGAATTGGGATCCTTTGATGAGTTGGAATCTATTGACAAGGCGGTAAGTCTCAAAGATTTTCTGAGTTCTGAATATATATTTTCAGTTCCAAACAACCAAAAAACGTCCTGAACTGAATGTCACCCCTGCTCCAGTTCAAGAAGATCTGACAGGAGATGCTCACGTAGTGGAGACTTCTGAAGAGACTGATGCTCCAGAAGAGGAAGAAGAGGAGACAACAACTGAAATGACTACAACGACCACATCCACTACAATGGCTCCAACCACCACAACCACCATGATGATGAAGGAAGAGGCTCCCAAAGAGGCTCCACCATCGATTTTCGTTTTCACGACTACTCAGAAGCCACGTCAGATGACAACCACTCAGAGGAGGATCATCCAACAGGAACAGCCATCAATTGTGGTGAATTCACAGCCGCCGACGAAGCAGAGAGAAAGTGAGCCAACGGTGAATGTGGGGCATGCTGAGGAGCAGTCACCAAGTGAGTTTTATCAAGTTTTTTGAAATTCCTAGCCAGGGTTTTGGTGTTTGTAGAAGCCTGAGAATTCAGGATTATGTTACTTTCTCAAAGCAGAACATACTGTAACCCTGAATTTTAAATGTTTAAATTTCTAGCAACCGTGCCCTACTGAGCATGCGGTGTCAGAAAAAATATTTTATAAATGGGTACTTTGCCAAATTGTTATGAAACGTAAAAAGCTGCGCGGTTGAGAAAAATCACCGTGGCCAGGAAGTAAATATCTGTAATCTGACGTGATAGCGATACCTACAGTATCTACAGACTCGGCATCTAACCTTACGATAATCTTTTTTTCTAGAAACTACTGTACATTATCACATTTCCAGAACTCGCCATCCTCCTCCCAGTCATGATAATCCTTGCCTGGCTTGTTATCCTCCTCTGCATTGGAGCCGTTGTGTGCTGCAAACGACGGAACAGTGCACGAGAATCTTCGCAACTTCGTGCAATGTACGGAGCGGCTTACGGTGTCCGACCCACCGGATACGAGTCAAAACGAAAAGAATCCACGTATGAGGATCACTTAGAACGGGCGGCACGGTTAGGCGGGCAACCGGCACTCTCCGGTCAGCAGGTATGTCGAATTTTTCATTCTTGTTTCGTAAAAAACTGGAATTTGTGGTGAATAATAACCGTTACTTGCTGTGTGTGTTTTCTCCTAATAATAACCAAGTTAAGGCGGGAAAAGTGTCACAATACGGAAGCTACTGGAACCTTCAGCCACTCTCCAATCACTCACCAGCACGTTTATCAACACAAGAACGACAGTCTCCGCCGAGTTTCATTAATAACGGGTATACTAATCAAACGGTGTGTTTCTCATTCCAAAATAATCAATAATTCCAATCTCTGGATTCTGGAAACTTCTTCTTCTTTTTCAGCGGTACACATATGCAGGGCACTATTAATCAACCCCAACAGAGAAACGAGTGTGTGTTTTCTTTTTAATTTTACTTTTTTTTTACTACTAATAATAATGTTTTGAGCGGATTTTTTGAGAAATAAGAGAAATTGCGGGCTTGGCACCGAAGCTTACGACAAAAATTGAAAATTTTGATATTTTAGTGAAATTTACTGTTTTTTTTAAGTTTTTAGTACATTTCGTTCGCTAGAATTCCGGGAGAACTGAAATTCCGTCATTTCACAATTTTGCGTACTGGACACCGAATTTCACGACGAAAATTTGAATTTTCGAATTTTTAGGGAATTGACATTTTTTCTGCGTTTTTTCAAGAGGTTTCATCGTTTTTCCGTTGATTTCTCGCAGTTTTCTTCTCGATTTTCATTTATTTGAATTTTTTGAGCAAAAAATGAAAAAAAATAGTCGAAAAAGTTAAGTTTGAATTCCCGCCGGGCACGCGACGCGAACCGCTACGCAACCGTTCAAGCGGCGCGGAGTTTCAGTTTTCCGCCAATGATAACGGCTTGCGTCGCGTGTAATTTGACTATAATCGAAAAAAAAAACAGTTTGAGTCCCCGCCAAACACGAGCTTCAGCAGCTCTGCGATAGTTTCAGCTGCGTAGCGGCTCGCGTCGCGTATGCAACCATTCGAAAATCAAAATTATGAATTCCGTTGTAAAATCGAGCGCCAAGTCCGCAATCACTGAAACTTCTCAATAAAATCCGTCTCAAAACCAGTTTTCCATCATCATCTTGTTGTGACATTCACATCTGCTCATCCATTTTCTTCACCGTTTTTTCATTGTGCGTGTTGTTCTCATCCATTTTCCCATTTACCTCTTCTTCCCATTCTTAAAGTAATCATTCAGAAGTCATCATCGGAATCCACTCTGATCGAATGCGTCAGATTATAAAATGATATCATTTAATAAATTTGTGCATTTTCTCTCTCCTCATTTTTGTGTCTTCTTTTCGCCAAGACATTGCCCCACACAGTCTTTTTTGCATTAAAACATTTCTTTGTATTTCATATTTCTTATCTAAATATACCTGTAATTGACTAGCGTTCGCTTATTTGACGGGATACATCTGAGCACCGAACTATTAATTGTTTTTTTTCTTTTGTGAAAACTAATATATCATTGTTAATTTGAATAAATAAATGAAAAACAATAAAATACTTTGCATTTGAATATCTAAAAAATAACGTAAGTACAATGCGATACGTCAAAAATTGTGCTCTATCTGCCGGTACTTTACCTAAAACTTATACGGTCAATTTTGAAATGTATGCTTCTTAAGTTCATTA